GAATCTCTTTATTTTTTATTATTAATTTTATGTAATAACAATAATCTGACATATTTTTATGTTAATATTGAACCCTACATACAGACATAGTTACACAAAGGCAATTAAGTAAGGTACGTTGGGGTAATACCGGACGGATTTTCGAATAGTTGGAAGAGTCTGCCAAAAACTTTAATTTCTCGACATTCGTATACGTCAGATTTATGGAACATGGATCAAACCGTTAATCGTTAAACGTAGTTTAGCTTTGAGAATCTTTTGCTTGTGTAAACTCAACGGTTTCTGCTTTAAAGGTGTGGGAAAACTAGACATACTTTTTTATATGCATAATGAAAAATTGGCCATTAAGGGGTAAGACCGGACTTAAATTTAAAACCACTTCTACTGCTTAGAGAAAAAAGTTTATAAAAGAGATTTGTCCTATCTTTAACGCTAAAAAACATATTTCAATATGATCTATAAATTACTAGAAACATAAATGTTCCAAACGATTTTCTCTTTTTTTGTTTCTTGCCATCCGATCTTACCCCTGATATAAAGAAATTGTAATTTTATGTTTCTCAAACTTTGTTATGACATAAGATGGAATTACTCAATATAAGAGAAAGATCGGATGCATTTGATTTTATATGGGAAAAAAAAAATAACAGTAAGGACTGGCGAAATGCCCTGGGATAACGCAGGAGTTAAGGAAGATATAAATAGTTTAACAAAGCGGCATTTATTATTATAAATTATTTTTTAAATAATTATTATAAATTACATTTTGATTTGTAATAGAGGATAGATATAGATGTCTATGGGCCGCAGCAATCATTTAACATCAGGTGTACTGTGTGCTCCTTTGTCACCCTTATCCTATAAAAAAAATGTATTTTAATGTGTACTTAAAAGTAATAAAACCATCGTATTGGTTTATTACTTTTAAATATACAGACTTGCTAACGAGACTGAGTCCCATAGTCACTTGAGTAATCAACGAAAAAATATACACGACCAATGAAAGTTTAACAACCACTGCCATATTTGTAACGGGCAAAGATCGGATAATATTCATCCGATCTTCACTCACGAGGGGAAACATCGGATCTCGGCCTACAGCGATCTTACCCTTGCATGGACCAGCTTTATTTAGCTATAACTTCATAAAAATTAGTATCCACATAAAATAATAACAAAAGAAGCCATGTTCTCGCTAAAAATCGTAAATAAAAGTGATAGGGAAATATCGGATGGACAAAAATAATACAAAAATTACATTGTTTTATAAAATGCCACGCAGCACAGGTCCCACTTGCCGGAGTGACTGGCGCGAACTGAGGGTCGGGGCAGGATGAAATGGCGTCGTGTAGCATATTGTTAGCTTTTCAAAATATAGCATAATTCGCCGGGAATTTGAATCCTACGGTCTTCCCCCATCACCGATCTTACCCCAACGTACCTTACTTCTAAACCCTTACGCAATTAAATTGATCTATTTTAATATAGTACGAGTATTAGTAATATTATTAAGAAACATTGGGATAATACACCTATGACATATCATTCACCACATATTATCTATGATAAAACCAATTTGTATATTTGTACAAATGTTGGGCGTGTAATTATGTCTCCCGACCACGCGGTCTTTAGTCAATAAACCTACCTACCTAACATATAGTTTAAAAGAACCTACTATCTGTCTATAATGTTCTTTCCGTTAAACACAGGTTCACCACCTACTAATATACCTCTTAGATATATCGGTTGACGTAATAAAGTGACTATATTGTAATTCTTTGAAATATTAACACGATATACCTAGTAAGATGAATGAATCATTAAAATACATCCGTTCGTCATAATGGGTCTTTCCCAACGAAAGGTTTTTTTTTTATTTTAAGCCTTTATACATAATATGAAGTACCTAGGTCGGTTAACCGCGTCAACGATTTGTTTTCAATTATATTTTAATTTTAATAATATATAAGTTTATCCAAAGGTGTTTGCCCTTTTTTCTATGTATCTATACATTATACATTTAAATAAAATTGAAGTGTCTGTTTGTAATATCGAAATAACTTCCTTCTATTAAGCTCGAGGGGTTATTTGGTTGCTATTAAGACAAGAATTTAAAATTATTGTCTGTCTGCCTGTCCGAGCTCCGAGCTAAACGAAATGGGTGAACCGATTGTGATAAAACTTTACGAACAGATCGAGGGCAATGTCAGTTAATTTAGGTTATATTTGTCCAAAATCGTGAGATTTTTTTTAGAATCGAAAATTGATAAAATTAATGTATTTTGATGATTATCTCATAAAATATTAAACATGTTTCTTACTTTTTTTGTTGTTTGTTGTTGTAACGCAAGAACACGTCATCTACGGTAGGTTTTGATAAAAAATCGATTTATAACATTTTTTTTTACTTCTACGCTATTTTACAACAAAACAATGATGGTTAAATCATAAAACTCTCTCAGAAATGAGAGGAGGCCTGTGTCCAGCAGTGGGTCGTATATAGGCTGTAACTTTAACTTTAAGACAAAAATTTATAGATCTTCAATTTTTATTATAATATTAAAATACTTTCCCATATCGCACATTGTTTTTGAGATAACAGCAGAAAAAACTGATAATAAAGTGTTTTTTTGATACTTGAACTACTTGCTCAAAGACCCATATTACGGACGAAGTCGCTGATAAAAGCTAGTCATAAATAAAATCGAACATTGAATGTTATTTTATTGGCATTCCATGTAATTTAAATGAATTTAATTTAGTGAATTTAGACGATGAATATGTTTTTCGATTTTTTCTTACTAAGGCCAGATGCTGCTTGACCCTAAAAGTAGGGGCTCCTCCTATATAATATAACTAGCTGTTCACTGCGACTTCGCTCGCGTGTTATTTAGAGTTTTATTTTTTTTGCGCGGATCCCTGATTCTTTTTCTAAAATAGAAGTAGCCTAAGTTATGACCTCAGCTATCTGCCAGTGAAAGTCCCGTCAAAATCGGTCCAGACGTTTCGGAGATTAGCCAGAACAAACAGACAGACGGATAAAAATTTAAAAAATTGTATTTTTGTTATAAGTACCGTATATACTTTCATATGCATTTAGTAAAAAGCTGTAATTTTGACATGACAAACTGACACTTCAATTTTATTTATTTGTATAGATATACTAGTAGCACCTATATAATCTGTACGAAAATGTAAAGGCACAAAAAATATAATAATACTGTACGTAGTAATGGTTTAATTATGTGAATGTTTTCTCCAAATGTTGACATCATCTGCACGATATGCACCCTAAAGACAAGGCTCTGTTGATTGCGTAAAATCCATACAAAAAAGCCCATACAGAAATTCCACAGACTTAGTGATTTATAACAATTTTACAAATTCAAGAGAATCTTCTTTGCGCATCTTTTTCATAAATGTTTGAGGGGCTAGCCATGTTGGTTTTCTACGATCGTTAACACTATAGGAAACTATAGGAAATGACATTATCCGAATGAGTTACGAGATTTTGTGTTGAATTAATTCATTTTTCAACTTCAACAAAGGAGGAGGTTCTCAATTTAGATGTTTATATATTTTTTTATGTATGTTCAGGCATAACTCCGTCATATATAGACGAACTTTTTTTGTATGGATTATTTTTTTGTTTGAAGGAGGTTTATTTCGAAATGGTCCCATTTAAATTTCGTAAATATGAGTTTCGTAGACAGACAACGGATTCTTTCATAAATGCTATGCATTGTTCACGCAATCACACAACATAACATCACGCCTTTATCCTCTAAAGAGGTACGCATATGTGTTCAGTGTAGTATACCACAGTACACCCTCATTTCTGTTAAAGTTGTTATATTGAAGTCGGTTGTACAACATTTTTAATTTTACCTTTTGTATAGATTTTTATAGCATTGCTGAGTCATATTTGAGTAAGGCTTGCTTTCTTCAACTGTGAACTTTAGAAGAATAACGACTAAGTGTGTTTTGTTAAGATCACAGTTTAGGAGAGTGCAGCATGAATTTGTTAAAACACAATAAACTTTCTCGTCGTGAGCTACTCATATGATAATAGCAGACAGAACTCCGTGGCGTATCATTAAGCAAACCTAAAAGATAGTTGCTTATCGTTGACGCATAACGTTTTGCTTATTTTGATGCAAGCTATTACAAAATATAAATATTTTCTGGTTATTATAAAATGTTTTTTAAAATAAATAGAAATTTCCATAGCTCCAATTCCATATTAAAATCCTATGTCTATATACAATTCATTTACCCTCTTAAAATCAGACAGCTCATCTGGTTCTCGACTTTGAGTACTTATGCACAAAATATTATTTATTATTTAAATAATGCTAGCGAGATTAAATGATGGGTGCAAATTGTGAAACGGTGTATGGTTGAATTTTTCATTTGATCCATATTAATTTCTTCATCATCATCATCACATTGTTATTATAGCCCAATAAAAGTCCAACACTGAACTTAGGCTTTCACCAAATGATTCCACAAAATATGGTCCCGAGCCACCTGTATCTATCGATTTGTATATTTAGCATGTCGTCACTCCATCTAGTGGGGTTCGCTCTTAGAGTACACATCAGCTGTCAAACTATGTGGCCAGCCCATTGCCACTTCGACTTACTGATCCGTAAAAAGTAAAATCCCTTGAACCATATTTTTTTAATGAGTTCCAGTTATGTTAAAAGCATTGCCAGTATTGCTTAAGAATATCTATAGTTATGTAAAAATTCAGGCAATTTTCATACTGTCTCTTTTCTTTATATAAAACTGAAGATTCAAACGCACTCGCAGTACATTTGACGGTAAGTGCGTTTTAACTTTTTACTCCTGTGGATGGAATACCTTACAGGCTGCAATCATACTAGCTCTCTGTACGTAAGAGGTTGATCGACGGTCCCATACGCGGACCCAGACGTACTGCTACCATCTAGTAGAGATTAATTTCAATTCACGCGTATTTTTATTGTTCCTAGATGTCACCAAAGAAATGGTCGAAGAATACGTTTGGTTGGGCGCGAGCGGAAGTGCTGGGGGCTCTTGTGAACGCTGTGTTCCTAGTGGCGCTGTGCTTCAGCATTACAGTGGAAGCGATGCAGCGGTTTATTAAGATTGAGATCATACACAACGCGAAGCTGCTGGTGGCCGTCGGCACGCTGGGACTGATTTTGAACATCGTCGGGCTTTTCCTATTTCATGGTATGTATGTGGTTAAAAAGTAATAATACGACGTAATAAAGGATTTTACACTAGGTACTCTTAAGGACGGACGCGTGGTTTGGAGATTGAATCGAGGATAGATATAAGTAGAGTTCACTTTTGTATCATTCATACTACATACATATAGTTTTTCGAGGAAATTACCGGGAAAAATTTAAAACAACATATAATATGTAGTAATTATGTAAACTGTGTGCTCGTTTTTCTATAATCTAAATCATTTTGTGGTTGAATATTTTCCTGTTAAGCAGTGTTACCAGATGAAAATTGCAAACTACCGTGTCAACAGACTAAAATTAGTTAGACCTTAGATTTATTTTGAAATTACAGTGTCAATATAACAAAATACAACGTTTTAATGATACTTTTTTATAATTAAATTTTTCTTCCAAAAATTCAACTTAGGTCATAAATTGACGAAGTCATTTTTGTAATCATGGCTTTCGATGGTGTAATATCAACACAAAGTGTGTTTCCATTTATGGTCTTGGTAATCAGTATATGTATTTCTTTTCTTCGTTTTGATGTCATTTACTTGACTGAACAGACTCTCACATGCATATTAGTGGAGGACCATACATTTAAAGTTTAAATATACTTTCTCAACTTGTGTCCTTTAGCTGAGCTATCTGTGAACAATGAAAACATTACTTGTGTCTACCAAAAAAGAGCAGGCGATCAAAATAATTTAAAATTAATAAAATACTATTTTTTTTAAATTTTAAATTATTCACCTTTTTGCCCAACTTTTGTTATTTTGGAGGATTTTGGTCTAGTTTCAGTATCAGTCTCGTAACTATCACTGTCACTCTTATTACGATTTTGTAAAGAAAATAATATTTTATGATGCACCACTAAACAGCAAAACATGGTGTAAAGAAATGTAATGCCATCAATTCATTTATACTACTCATTTTAATATAAGTTATACAAAAGAAAAAACCACTTCCTGAAAATCTTTTCATTTTACCGGTATTTTTTACCTCACTAGCAATGAAATGTTTGTGGATTTCCCGAATAGCGGCGTGGTGTTGCAGATTAAGTCTACCTAATTAGAATATACATTTTGTTTTAAACATTTTTTTATAATTTTGGATTCAAACTCGACTATTATTTACACGGTAATTTATATTAAAAATACCGTAGGAATTGACACGGCAGTAGATTATTACCGTAAACCGTGTTTTGGTACAAAATACCGTGTATCTGGTAACACTGCGTTAAGTGATTTCCCAGTATTTACTTTGCGGGAACAACTACATACAATTGACGATAAATTATCGTTTTCATTCCAATGAATGCGCCATAAAAACTCTTCTTAACACGTGTAATGCATTGTTTTTAACTCGTGCAATGCATTGTTTTTAACTTGTTCTGTCTTAAAAGATGTCTATTAGCAACAAGATCGTATCGTATATACGTGGTAGAGCCATGCTGCAACTATATTAGTAGTATAGTTATAGCACGAATGGGTCGGCTCGACCGGGGAAGGACCACGCTCTCACAGAATACCAGCGTCAAATAGCAGCTTAAAACTGCTGTGTTTCGTATGGTGAGTGTAGAGAACCGGAGACCCTTTTTACTGGAAAAGAGGCATTCCACCTTAGTCCTCACGGGTAACAACGCATCTGCATTTTGATTCGCAAGCGAGGATAAATGTAGATGTCTACGGGCCACAGCAACCACTTACCATCAGGTGGACTGTGTGCTCGTTTGTCAGCCTATCCTATAAAAAAAAAATCGTATCGTATAGCTGCGATATGTTCATCGACCACCATCATTTCATTTAATATGGCACTATAGCCCTTCATAAGTCCACTGCTAATCATAGGCCGACCCCATAGTTTGCTTCTTTTTGTTTATTTTTTAAGTACGCTCCTGAGCTACCTGCATCCATCGACTACCTGCGTGTTTCATCAGGTCGTCGCAATATCTAGTGCTGGTTTGGTGCTGGTTCGAGGCTGTCACTCGAGAAACTTTATTCCCTTTCGGTTGTCTGGTCTTCGAGCTATATATCCGGCTCTTTCCCACTTTAGCTTATTGGCCCGCTGGGCTGTATCAGTCACTCCTGTTTTTCTGCGAATACCCTCGTTACGGATTTTATCCCATAGAAAAAATCTTATCATTGTTGCCTATCAAACGTCTTATGTTGAGGTCTTCCCCATAGATTAATTACCACATAGGGGAGATATTTACAATAGTTGCCACCCTTGTCATGCGGGTGGGCAACCTCATTTTTTATTGTTTTATCAGAAAGATGTTGGGTTTCTCATGTCTCAGTTCCCTTCTACCGGTTGCTACACCTTTATGATATGGGGTCGTGAATTCTCTTAAGCCGTTGCTGCATTATAATAAATATTTTTACCGATATATGTTCAAATTTGGATTCGGAGTTAAAGATTATGATATGCAAATCTTATATATGCACTACCTACGCATATGTAGTAAGATTCATGCATTAAAAATATTAGATACTTCCTTGGTTTTAAACGTTTAAACTCAGACAATATGATATATTTAACATTGTTTTCATTAATTAATGTTTAGATATTTTCGTGTTCATTAATTCCGCATCGTTGACTTTGCGGTAACAACTTACAATAACTGCCGATAAATTATTATTGTTGTTCCAATGAATGCGTCACAAATAAACAAACACGTGTAATGAATGCATTGTTTTTAAACTTACATCGATCTAAAAGACATTTAGCTACAAGGTATCGTATCGTATATCTGTGATATCATTTATCACATATGTTGAAATTTAGATTAACATTTTTATTTGTATATTATATTACTTTTTTTATAGAATAGGGTGACAATCGAGCACACAGTCCACCTGATGGTAAGTGGTTGCTGTGGCCCATAGACATCTACATTTATCCTCGTGTGCGAATCAAAATGCAGATGCGTTGCCACTCGTGAGGACTAAGATGGAATGCCTCGTTTCCACTAAAAAGGGTCTCCGGTTCTCTACACTCACCATACGAAACACAGCAGTGTTAAGCTGCTATTTGACGCTGGTATTCTGTGAGAGCGTGGTCCTTCCCCGGTCGAGCCGACCCATTCCTGCTACAACTATACTACTAATATAGCTGCAGCATGGCTCTACCACGTACAAAATACGTAATTATATTTTGTTATGCAATGATTTTAAACTTCCATTGAATTTAAAGATATTTAACAACAAAATAACTTACCGTATATCTGTGAATGTGATACGTCATTTATCATTATAGGTATGTAAAATTTTATATATTCATACATAAATATCAAACAATGAACGATTGATAAGTATTGTAAAGTGACAATGGCCTGTTTTAGTTATTGTTGTTTTATTTATTGTTAAAGGTTTGCAATGACAAATCATTTGTTCACAAATGTGTGAATATATTTTGTTTAATCCTTTAACGTTTTTAGTTTTTTCTTACGTGGTAGAGGCGTGCTGCAGCTTTATTGTAGTTGTAGCACGGAATCGATCGGCTCGACCGGGGAAAGACCACGTAATACCAACATAAATTGCACAGCAGCATTAAACTGCTGTTTAATGCTGCTGTGTTTTGTGTAGTGAGAAAAAGAAACGGAAATTAGGAGATCCCCGCATTTTGATTTTTATTCGAGTATACCGCTTAACATCAGGTGGTTTTGTGCGCTCGTTTGTCACACTTATTCTATTTTAAATATTGTTTATGAAATAATTCCAACCCTTGATATTATGTAAAATAACAAACACCTTAAACTAAGACATATTGAAAAACCTAAAAGAAATGAAATATGTGATTTTTTAGATCAGACATAAATTAAGTTTCCTTATTAATTCATTACTTTATAAAAAAATGGTCTCCGGGCCGTTAAATTTAAATTACAAAATATCGGTGTTATTATTTGAATAATTTACGCGTTTTCTTTTGTGTAGATCATCATCATCATCATTACAGCCTTTCATAAGTCCACTGCTGAACATTGGCCTCCCCCAAGGAATGCCACAAAGCACGGTCCTGAGCCACCTGCATCCATCGACTTCCTGCATGTCTTACCAGGTCGTCACTCCATCTCGTGGGGGGTCGCCCTACACTTCGCCTACCGGTACGAGGCTGCCACTTTAGAACCTTTCTTCCCCATCGGTTGTCGGTTCTTCGAGCTATATGGCCGGCCCACTGCCACTTCAGCTTACTAATCCGTTGGGCTATGTCGGTTACTCTGGTTCTACTGCGGATATACACATTTCTAAGTTTATCACGCAGAGAAACTCCGCGAATAGCCCTCTCCACAGCTCGCTGAGCGACCTTGTGCTTCCTCATACGGCCAGCACTGAAGGACCACGTCTCAGATCCGTAAGTCATCACTGGCAACACGCACTGGTTGTACAGTTTCGTTTTAAGGTTTTGAGGTATGTCTGACGAGAAGATGTGTCGTAGTTTCCCCGAACCCTGCCCAGCCGAGTTGAATCCGTCGATTGACCTCTCGGTCGAAGTTGGACTTACCTAGTCGGACTTTTTGTCGCAGGTAAACATACTCGTCAACAACTTCGAGCTTAGTGTCCCCAACATCTACCGGCATAGGTGTGACATGGACATTAAACATGATCTTTGTTTTGTCCATGTTCATCCTAAGACCTATTCGTTGGGAGACACTATTGAGGTCATTGAGCATGGTGCTTAGGTCCTCCAGCGATTCTGCCATAAGGACTATACCGTCGGCAAATCGAAGGTGAGTGATGTACTCGCCATTGATGTTAATACCGTATCCTTTCCAGTCCAGAAGCTTGAAAACGTTTTCCAATGCAGCGGTGAAGAGTTTCGGGGATATAGCATCACCCTGTCTTACACCTCTCTGCAATTGGATAGGTTTCGTAATCTGGTTCTGTACTCGGATAGCCATCGTAGCTCTACTGTACAAACACTTCAGCACTTCGATATACGACAGTTGGCTCTTTCTGGCAGACAGATCTCTGGCAAAGACTTTGGAGCCTTGGTTCC